CAGGCTCTGCTCCCGGTGAGGATGATGTTTCTGGCACCATTACTGTGCCCGAGGTCGCCCATGACACGGAAGAAGACGAGTACGTGGTACGTAACCTCCCCTGCTCCTACGTCTTCCGTGGTCCGTAGAATAAAGCCGCTAAGCCCCTCGTAGTTTGACGTAGACATCTTTGCCGACTCCAAGGAGAAGCAGCCCGTGAAGGACCTCGTCCGCTCCAAGATTGTGCCCCAGCTGCGACAGGAGTTCCAGAAGCTTGCCGGTGCCCTCATCGCCGAGCATGGCAAGGATATCCAGCATGCCCCAGGCTCCAACCCCTCGAGCGGTTTCTCGACCCCCAAAGTCCACCCCCAGACCTCCGTCACCTCCAAGCCCGCTGCGGCCCCCGAGGCTGTAAAGACTAGCGGCAACGTGAACACGACGACCGTGAACGATAACGAAGAGTTCCGCACCACGGCCGAGGAGCTGTACCAGACCTTTGTCGACCCTCAACGAATTGCTGCCTTTACCCGATCTCCCCCCAAGGTCTTTGAGGGTGCCAAGGTCGGCGGAAAGTTTGAGCTGTTTGATGGCAACGTGTCTGGAGAATACCTCGAGCTCGAGTCCCCCAAGAAGATCACCCAGAGCTGGCGTCTCAACCAGTGGCCTGCCGGTCACCACTCCAAGCTGCACATCGAGTTTGACCAGAACGACGTCGACCACGTCACCGTCATGCGTGTTACCTGGGAGGGAGTGCCCATCGGCCAGGAGGACGTGACCAAGCGCAACTGGCTCGAGTACTATGTCAAGAGCATTAAGCAGACATTTGGGTAAGTCTCTAATCTGACGCAGCCTTGCCATGTAGACTAACCGTCCAGATTCGGCACCATTTTGTAAACAACGGGAATGGAGTTGGAGTCCGGTCATGGGCGGTAGATTGAATGCGCTCTCTAGATGAGGGTAGTGACGGGGGTAAATAGTCGCTACCGTGGCGGCGGAGGGCAAACGTCGTCTTGGGTGGTCTACGCAAGAGACCTAGAAGCGTGTGGTTACGATATCATGAGCGACGTGAATGAATTAATGCATATCTACCAATGCCGTCGTGGCTGAATGTTCTCGTCCTGTCTATCCGAGTGCTTCATCAATTAGCCAGCACGTTGAGTTGCAGTATGGCGTCCGTTTCTGCCTGCTCGCCTTTTGTCGATAACCTGAGTCTCCCGATGCCGGGATCAGCAACCTGGTGCCCCGTGGCTAAGCCTGCTGACTTGTCTGATAGATTCATTGCATTGGTCTGAGCAAGGTATACATGCTGTCCCATCCAGGATGTAAGAGTAGGCGGCCCGAGCCATATGCGGAATGCTCCAGTCAAGACAGCAAACAGACCGAGTATGATAAAGATGGCCGCAGCAAAGACGTAGCATCCTGTGTTCTTCTCTCCACGCCATCCGACGTAGAATGGATACTGGGCATGAGGATGCTCTTTAGCCATCTCAGTTGTATCCTCTGTCCCAAATGGTTCCTCCCCCGTATCGATATGCCAATGCCGTGGCCGTAAGGACTGATATGATGACATGACGCCTCGCACGATACCACTGACGCTTTTGACAAGTGATGTATCCGGGCTATTCACCAGTGCCTCTATCCAGGCGCTATAGTACGGCAGAATACCCTCCGCGTCGAGTGACTTTTCAAGATCTTCCTTGCTGACGGAACCCGTTTTCGAGAGTGTGTCCACGATGCTATCGTTGCTCGCAGACAAGACGCGGAAGTTAGGGCTATCCACGCTCGTGAGACGAGAACAGTCTGTACCCCTGACATATCTGTCGACCTGGGCCACGGCGTAGTGCATCTTGTACGTTACACGCTGCACCACGGGTTCGCGGAAAGTGTCAGAGGAATGGTTCCGTCGTGCCCACTGAACCTGAAGATTCCCCGGCTCGATAACCTTGTATTCCAGGATGGCCCTTTGTGGTGGATCAAACAGGTCCTCTGTCGATGTCTCGATCCGTTGCCATCCGTTCGTGTTTTGTGTAATAAAGAAGTCACCCTCTTCCTCCGTCATTTTGGCCACCATGACCATCTCTCGTGTCAAGAGATATCCGCTGTCATCGGGGTAAAAGATGTAACCGGATTTCGAGCTGGAGCAAGACGCCCGTCCTGTCATGATGATGCTTTGAGGCGGTTTCAAATAAGTCTCATATTGATGTAGAAACGCTCGATTTATCCCTGTGCCTCGCGGAAAGTCGCTGATCCAGGGATTGAGGTCGTTGTCCAATGTTTCGTCGGCATTGCCCCCCTCCATGGATAGACGAGGTTTTTTGAAGTTGACGGTTTCCTTGTCAAGGTTCTCGTACATGAAGACATCAGGGCTGACGATGACGAATTTGTAAGCGATAGAGGCAAAGATTCCCATGACCACGAGGAAGTATCGCAGCGTGAGAAAATATGGGAATCCTCTGAGGCCGTATCTGACAGGTGCTCGTGGTTGCGAGTTGAGATATCGGGCATAGTCGAGTCCGGTGCTTTGCTGAGATTGCCGGCTACACCATGAGTCAAAGAAATGAATATAGGTCTCGCCGAATCCGAAGGAGAGCAATCCAAAGGTGACACCGAGGATGGCGATCCAGACTTGCATGCTCAAGTCATGGCCGACACTGAAGCGAACCTGACCCGCAGGTCGTGAGTATCCGATTTCTCCATCCTTTTTAATATCGGCAACAGCGTTAATTCCGACAAGAATCAAGACGATGCCACCGATGAAGAGGGCGGAGAGAGAAAGAATACCGACGGTCTGGAGCCGCTGGAGGAAACTCGGTTGAGGCATCGCGACAACATGAGTGGACTCAATCCACGTTAAGAAGGCACGCGGGCAAAGAAATAAATAAGACGCGAGAGTATTAAGAGAACTCTTTATAAATATATACAATTAATTTATAAAAAAAATTATAAAATAATATAATAATATCATTTACCTGAAACGAATCAGATGATCAGACATTGACCGGCCTTTGGCACAGCCGCGCGCGTAGGATCCTTGGCGTGCAGAAAATAGGTAAGGACCAACAGCCAACAAGGATCCTGCAGAGAAGGATGAAGGTGATGAACATGGTGAGCAAAGTTAAATCCAAGGCCTAATGGCGGTTTATCCTATAATACATCTCAAGAACATCATCGCCGGCGACGCCTCTCGACATTGAGGTCATCAGAACTCTGACCAAAAGCATAGTCTGTTACAAACACGTCGACCAAGTTGTCCCAGAATCCCATATCGTAGAGATTCTCAACGTGACCGAGACCCCAGACTCTCTCCCAGGGTCCTTCTCCAGGAATCGGGGCGTCGTCCTTCGGAGGTCGTCCATCTTGCGTGGTGATGAGGATCTGCTCAGTCTCAACGGGCCAACGAGTATACCGAGGTTCGACACGTTCATTCTTTCGTCGGTTGGCTGGCATAGAGCGGCGGAATGCGTAGCCATCTTGCATGTCCTCCTTCCACTCTGACCACTTGAGTGTCTCGTTTGTTGTGGTGCCACTCCAGATGAGGTAGATCGTGTAGAGAAGAAGACCCCAGACGAGAGGAGCCGTGAGTATGGCGAGGAGGGCTGTGGCTCCCATGTTGACATTGTCTTGGATCGCCCATCCCCAAGCAGCCACGTACTCTGTCCAGTCCATGCTTTTGGGCTTCCACCAAGTCCAGTGAGGGCTCCATCTGGGTATTCTCGCTGTGATGATTGATAACCCAAGAACGCCACCGTATGTACATAGAAGGGCAGTGGAGGCGAGCAAGAGCACAAAGTAGTGCTGGTTCCCATAACCGACGCACGAGTTGATAAAGACGCAGTGGTGATCAGCTTTGGCCACGCAACGCTTGCAGAGGTTGCAATGCTTGGATCGAGCAGGTTTGAGCAGCTTGCAGGTCCGGCAGACGTGCCCAGGATGGAAGAGAGTATGGTCGTAGGGGTAGAGAGAGAGGTAGTACTCATGGTTCTCAGGCGTGATGTAACCAGGGTCGGCGGCACACGCAAGATAGAGAAACAGGTAAGGGAGGAAGACGGTGACGGCGACAGTAAACTTGGTAAATGTCCCAATCTTGGACCAAACTTCAGGAAGGTACATATACTCGCCGATGCTCATGATAAGCATGAAGAAGATCTACAAGCATCAGTTGTCATGCGCATTCATAAGCATCGCAAGACTTACCACAACAGTCCAGTGCCTTTCATGCATCATATAGTTACCGAATCGTGATAAATATTTCGATATCCTCCCTCCAGTGAGGATATTATCCACCCCCAAAACGCCATTGGGGATATAAACCCATATCACCTTATATAGAAAGGCTATTGGAGTTCGCCTATAACCGTCAGTCGCAGAATATACGAGGTACCTCTAAACCGACCTTAGAGCAGGCAATCTTCCAAAAAAGGCCACAAAGACCATGAAAGAGATGAAAAGAATCAACAACACGATGGTTTTGAACGAGCTCATGGTTGCTAGATTGACAACAGTAAGATGAAGACGCAAAGATCAAAATAAAAGACCAAAAGTGCCAGCTAAGCGCTTGGCATCAGGCTGCAGACTGGTCAGAGTCTCATAATGCACAAGCAAAAGACGATAATCAACAAAATGAAAAGATCGAGCACCGTGAATCAGGTCCTACGCTCGTATATATGCAGAACAGTTTGAACAAAGAACAACCAACAAGGAGGCAGCCGGACTGACCGGTGTTGAGGGGATGCTTGTAAGCAGACGCAATGCACGGATAAGTAAATGTGCTAGCCACACGTGACCCCGCGAGCCTCATCACACGCGTCTCCCGTGCCCTCAGGCTTGAATCTCAACAAAGAACATTCCATCAAACCGCAGGCGGTGCAAAATACGTGATTGGTTGTTCGATGTGATGGGCAGAATCCTTCCTTTCAGATGAATTTTTCAACTCAGTCTTATCGCGCCTGACGTCTTGGCGCATTTGAATTCAGCAACGCGTATGCAACGGTTTATGGCAGCGCGAACGAGCTAACCTCACCATGGGCACAACATACAATGGCGTCAACGGCGCCCAGGGAGGGAATATTTTTAAAGATGTCAAGTTCTGGGTGGCTCAGCGGGTGCCCTTGAGATCAACCTGGATTGACTACATCAAGGTACGTCACTTGATACTGAGTCGCGCAACCGCTAACAATTTAGGAAAACGGAGGTTCAGTGGTACCTCTAGAGAAGCATGCGGACATGCTAATAGCGGACCACAAGAGACTGGATGCGCCCCCAGGGGCATATTCATGGAAATTTATCGAGGACTCAGTTCGTAACGGCATTATCCAGATCAAGGACAAATACCGTATCGGACCTGATCCAGATCTCCCAAGACCAGTTGGCGCAAAGCATGGTGCCAAAACTACCCGTACTCCTTTCACCAAGGATGATGATGCAAACCTCGCAAAATGGGTGCTCTCTCGAAGATCTCAGCAGCAGCAAGGAAATGCCATTTACCAGGAATACGAGGCGATTGTAAGTGCTAATCTTCAGTCGATGAATGTGGCTAACAGTTGTAGAACCCTCGACATACATGGCAATCATGGCGCGACCGGTTTGTCAAGAGGCTTCAACCACGCGGGATGGCAGCATTGGAAAGGTTGGCAGCTGAGGCGCCAGAGGCCGATGTGAGCGAGCCAGCAGCGCCACCTGAACCATCACCGCGTGCTGCTCCTGAAGAAAGGCAAACTGTCCAGCAACCTGAACCGCAGGCTGCTCGGGTGCCCGCTGAACCTCAAGGTGCCAGGCAGTCTGAACCACAGAGCATCCAACGGCCCAGAACACAACCTGACACGGTCCCCGAGAGCGCGCCAGAGAGATCACAGAGCCAGACGCGACCGGCTTCTGTCGTTTCACAAGACGATCCTAAAAGGCAGCTCTTCTACGAGGATCTCAACGACTTCAAGACGGCTTCCAAAGCTGATATTAAGGAACGGCTGAACATTAACGGAAGGACCATCGACTTGTTTGACCTGGCAATGGCGATCGATGACTCCCAGGTAGATAGTCAGATGTATGACTGGTACGGTGTTGCTGAAAGACTAGGATTTGATGATCCAGACGAGGACACGGCCACACAGTTGCAAGTATGTTTTGACGAGCACCTAAGCGAGTTTGTCGCTGCAGTGGCGTCTTTCGACGAAGACAACGTGGAGCCAGAGGCTGAAGGTCCCGAAGAAGACCCCTTTGAGCAAGATGTGCCTGAACAGGCCAGCTCTCAGTGGCCTGCGAGTTATGTGCCCTCTTCACCTCCTGTTGTCATTGGAAGGAAGCGTTCTGCTGGTCAGCGGCAGCTGTCAACTGGTCATGGGACGAAAAGGCCGCGGTACGACAAGGACATGGTTATACCATCAACTCCAGACGCTGACCTGGATGCTGAGCTGCCTGCTGTGGAGCACTCGCCGAGTGCTCGCAAGAGCTCCCAGTGGCGGGGCTATATCGACGAGAGTGAAGCCTCACAGCATCTTCCACCTCTTCCTCCTTTGCAAGCGGAATCTCAAGACCTTGGTACAGGTCAATCGCCAACAACAGAGCCCAGACGCCAATCACTCGCTGCCACTCAAGAGTATCGGCATGGAGAATTGGATCCCACACCAATCCCCTTTTCTCTCAAACAGCCCCGCGAGCAGAGGGTATCTGCCGGCCGACAAGCAGCACGAGTTGAGCCTCGAAGACCAAGCCGTGAAAGCAGTTCGAGAAACGGTGTTTCTAGACAACCTCCTGAACCAGCTATTCCAGCAGCAAGGCCGAGACCAACGGCCCAGCCAGCCTCCCGACGTTCTTTACCTACATCTTTCACCTCCTCACACTCCGCTTCAAGACAAACAACTACTGCGCCTCCGAGAACCGAAACCACCCCAAGAAACAATCCGCCCCCAAGAACCAACCAAACAGACTCCACCGATGCCAACCGTCGGGAAATCCAGAAGTGGACAACATACTACGAAAACCGCGGATTTCCGCGTGACATCGTTGTAGAAGCCTTGAAGCGGACGACGCTCACTCCTGGAACCCTGGCACTCCAGGTCATGGAGTCTCTCCAGGCTGGCCGCGGGGTACCTTCTCGTCACGAAGGCATCTGGACGGATCGCGACGACGACGACCTGGCATTTGTGTCGATGGTGGATTTCACCCAGTCGCCGACCAGCACGAGCGAGGAGATGCAACAGCAGCGTGCTCAAAAGGCTCATAATCGTCTCATCAAGAAGCACACGTTTCAAAGGTTTGAACTGAGGAAAGCGTTTCTTCGTGCCCAGGCGAACCAAGGTCACTCGAAGGAATAGGGTCTTATACGGTGGCTGATTTCAACGTCGGGCAATGAATTGTCCTAGCTCAGGAGTACGGTACGTGCAGGGACATGGACGTGGATACCCAGACCAAGAGGTCTTTCAGGTGTTTATGGGAATGTATAGTTCTGAATTGTGTTGGTAAAATTGATAGCGAAGCTAATCATTGTGATATTCATCAGCCCCTTGAATCATTAATTGTAGTTGAAAATGCGCCTTCCCATATCCCATTGGTATCCCATTGTAATATACCCATGAACCCTTCATGGCCAATCCCAGTAAAGTCCGCACGAAAGCCAACACCTTCCCATCGTTAAATCCCATAACCGCTCTTATCCCGCGGCACCAAACGACCCGAGCCCAGTATAACTGTTGATATGTCATGTCGCGGTCGTATCATTCATAAGACATCATTCTTAAGCGGGAGTCGTTCCGTTAGATACCAAACTTGGAGAGTTGAGCGACGGCAAAAGAGTTGCATAAGAGCCGACATTCGACACGACAAGTCCCGCAAGTTCGCCTAGCACGGTTAGACACGATCATGCTATTAGACTGTTAACTTACCAGCGCCAACAAGCCAAATGTTTCTCCAGAGAGAAGGTTGAAGACCATAGGATCCCATGGTAAGTGAAAGCGCCGGGAAAACAACGTGAGGCCAAAGCCCAGCAAATCCAAAACCGCCAAATACATAGCTTTGAAAGCCAGCAGCTGATGCGGCAGTTGCATCAAGCATCTCCAAAACTTGGCCGGTCTTTAGATGTGCTTGCTCCAGGCGTGAATCGTGATTGTCGTACTTGACGAGTAAATTTCCGGCCAGTTCTTCAAGTTTTCCCATCCCCTAGACTGGTCAGCAAAGTCATACATTGTGTGGACAAACTCACAGCTTCGATCTCTGCTTGCTTCTCAAGAATCACTGTCGTCCGCAATTCTGTCGCTGCCTTCATTGTGTTAGCGTGCACTCGACAACGTCAGAAGCACTTACCATCTGGTCCTGAAGAGAAATAGACGACGCCATTGCTGTAGTGAGTGCAGTCACAAAGACATCAACTTCGCTGTTTGCTCTTTGGGTGGCAACTTCGAGTGCCGTTTCGTGGGAGGAAGCAATGTCAACAGCACTCTCCTTGGTTGTACGGATCAGCATCGTAATGAGCTGATGCAGGCTTCTAGCGTCTTCGAGTCCGCTCCGAACCGTCTCTCCCGATTCCTGATCATGTTAGCTTGAGCAGTGAATTGTATGCGATAACGTACCTGTGCAACTTGGCCCAACTGCTCTCGAAGAACATCACTGGCGAGTTCTAGTTCCGATCGAAGGCGCTGGACCTGGGGGCTGAGGTTCTCAACTGAATCACTCGCAGCGAGGAATGCGCGATTGAGCGACTGAAGGCGCTCTTCCATCTCGACCTCAATCTTGTTCGTCATTGTCTCGAGGATCTTGGTGATTCGCTGGTAGAGATGGAGGTTCTCGGCTGGATTTTGGTGAGCATTGCCTTCTCCTTTCACGGTGCGACTAACCTTTGTCATGATCTGCTCTAGCAGCTTCACAAAACCGCAATGCTTTGTGTCGATAGCTCACCCAGGTGTTCCAAGCGGAGTCCGACTGGGCAAGCCCCTCGAGGCAGTCGTCAATCTCAACTGTCGAAACATGGAGTTGAGGGGCTGCTGGGACAGGCAGGGATGCCAGAGTCGACTCTCGGAATTTGGAGCACGTCGAAGGAATCATGAAGCTACCCCGTTCCAAGTCGCAGATAGCAAGGCTCGCCGCATAAGAGTCGACAAAATCTCGGGCTGCTCGTCCACTGTCGATGTGAATGGTGGCTTCATCCTGACCGTCGAGGAGGTGACAGTTGTTGACCAGCAAACGCGCAGCAATCCGATGGCACAAAGGCTCAGACTCTAGTTCTTGGAGTTCTTCGAGAGCAGTAGTGTACGCGGTAGAAAGTCTTTCAGGCTGGCGTTGGAGTGGCTTACCGGCACTGCCTTGCGGGTGCTGAATGGAGATGCCATCGCCTATCATGGTCAGCTTCAAACTCGAAAGGGGAACGAAACCTACCACCAGTATTCCTCTGGGTCCTCCACGAAAATCCATGCGCCTCTTGTGTGAAGTGAGCAAGAAGGAGGAGCGCCCAAAGAAAGACCCAGCTCATCTCGAACAACATGTTGAGAGTCAACCTGTGGAAAAGGGGGCGCCCTGCAGTGACGGAATGTTGTCACTGGCAGGCCAGTGAATTTTGTTCGGAAATCAAAGGCAGTCCGATGCTTGCGGTTGGTGGGAAAGAAGAAATGCGAGTGTTTGGTGGAGGTGGGAGGTGAAGTAGAGTGCAGATGAGTGTGCGGAAGGCACGAAAGGCGGCTGTTCCCCAAACAGGCGGCAGAAAAAAAGTCTCCCACGAACACAATCAGGGCTTCAAGCGTGTGCTCGATCTTTAAGCGGGGAAACGTCAATCAGAAGTTCGTATGTGAAATAATTCAAGTCCAAATAGACAAAGGTTGTGGCAGAAATGCATTTCATGTTGAGGCTTGGAGCTCCCATCTCGCACGCTTCGGCACTGTCAACACCCTGCCAACCCTCGCCCACTCCAATGCGGTTATATAATGGCCTACATGATTTTATTCTTGTTGAATTAGGTTAAATCAATCCATGACTTGACCCAATTCAAGATACCTACCTAGGTACAATTCTCGAGGCCGCAAATCGTCCCATCCATCCTTTCGATAGGATGATACTAACCAAATATCCCAAGTTAGATGATTTAATCACCAAGGATTCAAATCAACAAAAAGGGCAAATTAAGCAACCAGACTCAGATAGTAGGTTACATCTATCGCCCGACTCGGGGCCAGTCAGGAGGTTCATCGAGACTGCTCGTGTTCCCGTCCCGTGCAAAGGCCAGTCCTCACAGTACCACAAGCACACACACACTACCAGTTTTACTTGCTGGAATAACATGTCTTTTGCTCTAGTTATTCAAATGGCCTTCTAAATGTGGAAGATAGCAAAGAAATCTAGTGGATAGGCCTGACATGGTGGTACAGGGTCTCAGGGCAAGTGAGTTTTGTACAATGACTTGCTCCTTGAGGCATTGTGCTAGCTACTCAGGGACAATGTCATGCCAACACTGGGAAAACAGTCGTCTTACTAGACACATATAATTCCCCAGTTGAGAATTCCACAGATTAGATGGAACAGACATTCAGCATCTTCCACATTCACCCGGGTCACGTTCAAGCAGTCACCGGCTTACACCGACGTCCCTCCTTGGAGGTCGCCGATATTAACAAGCAGTTAATTTCCACGATAGGGCTATATAACCTTTGCCCGCCGATTGGCCAAAAGAGTCCGTAAATCATCCGAGTCAATTCCTAACTGCCCGTACACCTCCGCGGTCCCGTCCCCCGGTCGAGATCGGGAGGGTCAACAAAGCCGATCGTACGGTTTTTACATGCGGCGGTCCCCACCGACACAGCGAGACTGTGACGACATTCAGAACCGTCTGAAGAAAAAAAACATGAACTGCCCTCGTGGGGCGCAATATATTCAAACTATTGCTTAATCTAGACGGCGGCGAACTGCAGCCGTGCGCAGAACCAACGTCATGCTGCGCGCCATCCAAGGCAGTCTTCCCTGAAGCTTTTCCCAAGGCCTAGGCCCCTTGACTGACAGAACCTTGCATGTATCCCCGAGGTTGCATCGGATCTGGGTACTGGTCGCTGGTTGGCGCTTGTTCTTCTGGCGGCCGGTGATTCGCTGTTTACTTTTTTTCCTTTTTCCTTTTCGGCGCGCTTCACCGACCGACCGTTGACCGATTCAACGTCCCGCCTTTCTTTGAGGCTCTACTGCATAGTCTGTGATCGACGCTTCACACAGCTCACGTCAACTATTCACGAGCTGGCCGTGTGCGGCTGTTATTAGACAGCCCCCGTGCCGTGCAAATCACTGAGCCGCCATACGGATGGCTCATCACGGAGCTGTGCCGTTGGTGAATGTCCAGTATTCATCAGGTATAATAGACCGTCAAAGGCCAAACCGACTTCTTACCTCGTAATAGACATAACAACTTTTAACAAATACAACTACAGACTCGAATCTAGACGCGCCAGATATAGACATCATGTGCGTACAGGTGGACAAAAAGTTTGCGTGTGGACATGTCGGCTTCTTCAACATCCGATGGTGTGCCAATGCTCTCAAAGGGTGTAAAGGCCCCTCGCAGAAACACGACATTCTCGTCGTCACGGAAAAATGCCCAGACTGTGTACGAAAGGAGACTCTCCCCAAGCCATGGCCTGCCAAATGAAAAGGGAGGGCAAGGGTGAATTGTCACGAGGGCATAGTGAATTACGGCGTTCAGGGCTGGATATTTAGATTTACGAGATAAATGCCACCTCGACGGAGAATGACTAGTTATGAGAGGTAGACGCGAGGTCTATGAAAGAAAGATAAAGAAAGAAAAAAATATGCCCCTTGTTTTTTTTTTTTTTTTTTTTTACCTTTCCGATGCCGTGACCACAAACACGTAGAAGCTACTCCGTATCCTCATCCATCCTAATTCTTGTGAAGCCTGGGACCTCTGGTCGAGGTTGTCCTGCGCTTGGTTGTGGTCGTCTTGCGCTTTGTCGTGGTCGTCGCAGGCTTGGTAGTAGTCGTCGTCGTGGTGCTGGTGATGGGAGGCGGAGGAGTCTCTTGCTTTAGCTCCACGCAATAATGGTCGTTGATCAAGGAGAAGCACTTCCACCCGTCCGAGAAAGGGACGTCTGGGTTCAGCCATCTCCAATCTGGTTGAGACAGTTCAAAGGCAGCGGCTATGTCCCAGCATGAACCCCCTTGTGTTTTAAAGCCTGCAGCGAACTTGGCGCAGTTACCAAACATGGCTGTGCTTGCTGGGTAGGGTGTGCTGATGGGAGCTCCAGGCGCTCTTGTCCTGACACAGTACCACGACGGGGGGAGTTGGTTGCAACCAGTGGTTGGGTTGAGGTTTGGGTTCAGGTTCAGGAATGCCTGTTGGCTGAGTCCAAATCTGCTGGTGAACTCCTGGCAGCTCTGCCCGTAAACGAATTGATCACAGTGAGGATGTGACAATTGGATTGGCGTAGCGGCAGATGCGACCCCGGCGACAGCAGCAACCGCTGCGGTGAATTGAACGATGCCCACCATCTTGTAGTTGAGGTTGTTGTCTGATGGGCTTCTGTACTTGGACCGAGTCGTTGAACCTGCTCCTCATCCTGCAGGTGAGAGAGCCCTAGATATACACATTCGAGGACACATTGAAGCACTTCGAGGCATGAGAAAACTGGGAGCTGAATAGGAAGCTGGGCTGTCTCTCAATAGCTATTCAACACCAGATATAGCAGTGTTTGCGTCGGTCACCAACCTCAATACCCGTGTCATTACCCGTGCAGTGCAGGGTAAGTAGAAGATGAACCCAGTGACCCTTCACTAGAAGTTCACTCCCTTTGTACTTGATTGACTAGAGGCAAGGCACGGATGCAGTTCGTTGCACGGGTAATGGCTTGTGCTGTACTTGTGCATGAGAGTCCTGTGCGGCGCATCCAATGTTCCTAAAAAGGAAAAACAGCGAGGAGAAACAAAAACAGCTGAACAGCAGGGAATACAGCGGGAGGGAGGGCATGAGGGGAAGCCAGCCAACCAACGGCAACTTGAGAGGCCCACTCCATAAGCCTTTAGTGGTCTCGATGGGGACTAGAGCCTGGCAGCTGAGCCTAGAAGCCTGGGCTAGAGTCGCTAGCACGAGGCTGAAGATTTGTGTCGCAGGAAAACCGTTGCCAAGACCTTGCAGCACTGTTGTAGCCGGTGGTTTGAAGTGGAGAGATTGGCTGACGAGGTGAATGACAGGGGCCGCTAGAGGAGCAAGGAGAGAAACAAGGGGCACGTGACGCTCGGGCTTTGACGCTGAGCAGGGATCCCTCGAGCAGGTCAGCACGTCCAGACGAATAGCAGCAAACCTTGGACGTCTGACATTCTCCAAACATTTAAACAACAGCGAATGACAGCCACCAGCAAGCCTCTCGGGCCAATGACAGGAGCGGCGCCGGGTCGGCGCGAGTCAGCCAATGGACGCGGGGCTTGGCCATCGTACAATTCCCCTCCTCAGCCTCGCCCATCATACGATGTCGGCCAGTGAGTGGACATTTTCTGCTACGCCAGCGGCCCAGCGCTCCCGGGGTCTCCAGGGCCCCTGGAGCTGGAACCGCAAAAGACGGGCCTCTTCGAGGTAAAAGTCACGCCATTGCGGCCGACAAACATCCATCACGACGTCCACCGGCAGTGGGAGAGGCCCCGTCCCTTGTGCGCTGCGTCTCGCTTCTCGCCTGCAGAACCAGGTGAAGAAAAAAAAAGGCGTCTCTGTCTGTGGTCGGCATTGTCGCCAGCGTGCCTCAGCATTCCCAGGTCACATACCCGGTGCCCAAAAGCAACAACTCAATCGCGAGGGAAATCCGTCAATCGCCCCCCCAAGAATCAGCCGCAGAGGGAAAAATTCGACTGCGGCGAATACGACGACACACAAGACGGTAAATCCGGGTTTTCCTTGACTATCCTGTCGTGTCCTGTCCCAATCCCAAGCAGTCTCAGGATTGACTCCCAGTTCCCCGTCCCCGCGCAGCCTGGGCCTGGGCTCTCGAACCAACGAATTGGGAGCCGCATCCGTCCGCTCGTCCTGTCGACTGATGCCTCTCTCCCCGTAAAACCCTTCACTCCCTCGTCCAACGTCTAGCAACCTGCTCGCCGTTGCGCCCGACTTTCACTCCTGCGATACTCCCGCCTCCGTTACTGGTAACTGTGGCTAGAGCCCGCACCGCACCGCACCACGAGCATCCACCAGCACCAGGTCCGAGTCAAAGCTCGACCTCCTCATCAAATCTACAGCGAATCCCATCAGCAATCCTCCGCCCTGGCAGGTCCGCCCTAGCCATCGCCGCCTCTGTCGACCCATCTCCGTCGTCGCATCCATCCATCTCATCTCTCCCGCTCGCTCGCTCTCCTCTCCGCTCCAGACTCGTGTCCCGTCGTTAAGCTCTTGGATCTGGCCTCAATCTCGACGACACCCCACCACGCCATCGTGTATCGTCCCGTCCCCGGTTTCCTATCTCTGGACTGTATTTCCGGCGTCATCCTCACCCGCCGCCGTTAGACTTGAGAAATCTTTGCATCGTCTCATTGCTTTTGCGAGGCTATCACCACGACCACCGTCTGGATCGCCCCGCCTCTGTTGCCGTTGACGCACCAACGCCCTCGGCACCCCTCGACACCGTCGCGACGACCTTGCGATTACCCCGAACCCCTCGAATGACTTGGCTGTCGTGAACAGCATCGACCCGACCTCACGTCCTTTCCGACACCGTCGCCGCGAATTGAGCCGGCCTAAATTTGCCTTGGTTGCTGACACGAGATCCCACGTCCTCGACGATCAAGGCCACCAGGCCGGGATGCCGTGTTAGCAATGGATCCCAATCTCCTCAGCTTTTTCTCGGTGCCCAACAACCAGACACTCAACCCCGTGGACCAGAACGCCGAGTCGTCAACCGGCGCCATCTCTCAGCAGCAGCAGCAACCACAAGAACCATCGCCATGGAGACCTTTAGAAGGCGACATGGTCGACAGGACATCTGGTCCTCAAGGGGGACCGGTTTCCTCTTACGACCACCAATCGTCTGCCCCTTCCGACATCACATTCACACAAGCCCCCATGCCATCACCCTACACCCAACATAAGACCGTCTTACCTACCAGGGGTCACCCGCGGACTCACCCAAGGAAAAGGGATGCACACGATAGAAAGCGCACCAAGGTCGACACAGAGTCGGCGCTCGAGTCGCTCGATTACTGGATCCAGTTTGATGATGATGAGGCCGAGAGGACAGGAAGTTATGAGATTGACTTTTCTAAGCGATATGACATGATGAACAACACCACCACTACCCGGTATGTTTCAAGTTGTTAATGATGAATCAGGAGGCTGATGATTCGACAAGCCCGGGTTTTGGATCAAGCTCCACGACGCCAGGTCTCGGAACTGGCATCTATGCGACCGCCCCCCCGTTTAAGGGGAACGACTATTTTGATGACAACGCTCTAGATAATGCACTGTCCGATGATGAAGAAGGTTTTGATTCGATGAGTCTGGAGGAGCACTTGTCCAAGATTGAGACGATGCCGCCACCAGAGGTCCCACCAAGGGAGGGTCTCTACTCGACGCCCCTCAGTTGGGAGAAGCCCGAGCCCGGACTGCGGATGGAGCCGAACTTTGGCGTGGGAGAAAGCCCTGGGGGCATGAGCACGGCAGGATACGGGCAGACGATGCCCGGAGTTGGCAACCAGGTTCTCAGCAATGACGAGCAACGGCGACTTCTCGCCATCGCCATGAATACTGGTCGGACACCGGCCAGCTTTATGCCTCCCAGTGGATTCGGTCTTGGATTTGGGGCTGGGCTGGGCTCAGGTCTTCCGCCCGAGTTCAACGCGAGCATCGACTCTATCCTGGGAACGCCTGGGGAACAGAGTCAGAAGCAGACGCCAACGCCTGCTGACAGCACAAAGGCTCCATCCCGAAACCAGGACATTAAGACCGAGGCTTCAAGTGAGACGGGTACTGCTCTCAGTTCCTCCCGACCACAGCTCCATCGCTCCAATACAGATACAACTGACAAGGGCAAAGATAAAATGAAGTCTGGGGATCGAACAGCTCATAACGACATTGAGCGAAAGTATCGAACGAATCTCAAAGACAAGATCGCCGAACTCCGCAACGCTGTACCCGCCCTGCAGTCGATACCGGAGGATGGAATCGACGAGGGCGAGGGAAATTCACAACGAGCGCCCAAAGTGAGCAAGGTCAGTGGTACTCTACTCTACTATATACAGCTCGACGACTGACATTCCACAGGGCACCGTCTTGACAAAGGCAACCGAATATATTCAATACTTAGAACGGCGCAACAAGGCCATCATGAAGGAGCACCAAGAGCTGGCACGGCGTCTACAGGCATTTGAGCAGCTTCTCAGTGCCTCGGCTAGACAGCCATTCCTGATGCCCAACCACAGCCGGACGCTCTTCGACCCGAGAGGATTCTGCTGAAATAGACATTGTTTTTTTTTTCTCAAGTGCGCTTGCTTGGGACTGTATAAATATACCCCAGAGATGAATCGTGCTGTACACACTACACTGCTCATCCTGTTTTCTGCGTCAACCTGACTGTCGCGTGCGCTTGCATATGTGAACGCATGGTCTTCAGATATGAACGCCATGGCTTCAGAGATGGACGAATGCATGCCATGTCATGGTATGGCTGGCATATGCATGGCATGGGCTTGTTTGTTGTGATTTGTTTTTGAGAAACGAAACCGATGCCGAGTTATACGACCAGGCCAGGTCGACCAGGTGAGTGCTACCCTAATCATCGCTTACCAGACAGACAGCCTGAGGACGGACCACTGCATGCATCTAATTTCACATGCATCGGGTTGTGGCTTGATCCATGATCCCCGGCCATGACCATGAACTGAACGCGGTATTGTTGCTGTATTCAGCCGATAACAAAGGTAGGCATAGCAACAAAATTCGAGTGGGTCGTGGGCGCAACAGCCGTCATGGTCACATTGGTATTGTACACTTATGGAGTATGCTAGTCTATCGTCTATAGCTAGTGTACAGTTACAGTCAAGTGTTATCGCAATGCTTCAATGTCGGCCACTTCCTTCACCGCCTCTGTGGACAGGATGTAGGGCGAATCATCATCTACACAAACGCTGTCCTCGATCCGCACGCCCATGCCTCTAAAGGCAGCCGGCCACCGGTCATCGTTGGGTACATAAACACCTGGTTCGATGGTTACGCAGTGGCCCTGCCGGAGGGTCTCTCGCCGGCTGTAGCCAGGGCAGTCGTGCACGTCCAGGCCAATGTAGTGTCCGACGTGGTGGGGGAAGAGCTGGTCAATGTTGCTCATGGAAACATCAAAGCCGATACTACGCAGCTGATCGACGAGGCCGCGGGCCGTGATGTTATGGATGTCTTCGAGAGAGACGCGTGCGCTCTCACGGCACAGTGAGACGCTGGTGCGCTGCACCTTGAGGACGGCCTCGTACAGGTCGCGCTGAGCGGGGGTGAAGCGGCCAGATGCAGGCCATGTGCGGGATATGTCGGTGATGTACGTGCCATACTCACCGCCGGCGTCGATGAGAATGAACTCGTCTTCACGGAATGTGCTGTTGTTAACAGTGTAGTGGATGCAGTTTGCCCGCTCGCCGCCAGCTATCACGGGAATGTATGCTGGGCCATCGCAACCTTTCATGGCAAACTCGTAATCAAGGAATAAGTGCAAGTCCTTTTCTCGTTTCCATGGCCTGCGCATGGCATCTGTAATAACACGGCCCGAGATCTGACCTGCAAGACGCATGTTGGCGACCTCGGCTGGACTCTTGATGACTCGCAGCTTGTTCATAACAGAGAAGAGGGGTGTCCGCGCTGGACGAGACTCTCTGCCGGAGAAGAATCGCCATAGCCATTGGGCCGTCGCGGCGATGCTGCCTTTTGGAGGTTGAAAGTCGGCATAGACGAGCTTTGCAGACTCGAATATTTTGGGGAGGAGTGTCTCTGCCATATCTATGGAATGAGCTTCGTCGGCATTAAAGACATCGCGGGCAGCTTCAACGCCATTGCGGTAGCCGTTCCATTGCTCCTCTCGAGGGTTCTTTGGCTTGACAAAGAGCGTGAAACTGTAGTCGCCATACTCAGGACCAGTCTTTTGAATGACGGCAATTGCGTCACCCTCGAGCCAGCCGGTGAGATATAAAAAGTTGGACTCTTGCCGGTAGGGGTGGAAGACGGCGCCCGACTTGTACTGGAGGGATGCAGCATGGAGAACGGCTATGCTGCCATCCGTCATGGCATGGGCGAGGGCAGCTCGGCGATCGGCATACTCTTGAGCCGTGATGCCGGGTGTGAGCTCGCCCGGTTTTAGGATATGAGGATGGGTTTCGTGGACGGGTTGACCGAAACGGAGTTCGGAGGCAGAGACGGAGGCATAGGTACGGCGGATGACGGGCTGACGGACGAGGGACGGGACATAGGTCTGACGGAGTACGGATGTTGTTGATATTGTTTGTTTGGAGGCGACTCGGAGGGGCAGATCGAGGCTCCGGAATGGAGCTCGAAGGAGCTTCATATTAACGTCTACAGGAGGATTAGCATTAATAGGCGACTAGGAATTTAGCCCTTACCAGCAATTGGCCGTGCAATTGACGTCAATGACCAATGTTGGTGACCAGTCTGGGCCGAGGCTGGATGATGAGGTGCAGACGGGATGCAGGAAAAGCTGACGAGTGAGAGTGAGGCTAAAGATGCTTCAACGCCTCAGTTATTACCTACAGTAGATACCTACACAAAAGGGTCCATCCACGTTTTCATCACAACATATATACATAGTCAAGGCCATTCCCGACGCATTCATTCCTCTGCTGAATTACCTTGGAATATGTCTCAAGCTTCCATTGTTTATTCCCTGTCTCGCGAAAAATCCCCGTCTCCGGGACGAGGCTGAAATTGTTGTTTGGTCTCGTCTCTCCCAATTTCCCGTTTCTGGCTTCGCGGGCTCTGGTTGCTGGGTGGCCGCCCGGGGCTAGGGCCGTGCGTGTTTTTGACAGTGGAGGCCCGGCGCCTCGCTGCAGGCCACAGAAGGCCTTGCGCTGGGGGGAGAGGCCCCGGGAGGCCCCAGGCAGGCCCTGCTAGGCCGCGTTTAGCAGCCGTGCGAGGCCGCACCACCGCCCAGGACGGGCATAGCGCTGTTGTGCCAAGCGCGAGTCTCCAACAACACGACCCGCGGGCACGCTTCTCTCTCTCTTGCTCAGTCATCAATCAACCTGGTCGGGTCCCTCACCTGTCTTTCTCTCGAGGCAAAACCAGCCCGGCCAAAAGGTCCGAATAACACAACCATCTGCCCCGGCATCTCTGGCTTCCTGCTCGTGTTTGACTTGTTCACTCTGTTGTTTGTTTGTCTCTTTTTCTTTTGCACTGCAGCCTGGTCCTCTGATGCATCGATAACGTCCATTCCCGCCGCTCCTCGCCACATTTTGTCCTCGTTTGACGTGTCTGACCTCCGCGTCGCGTGCTGTCCCAGCCCCTCACCACGACCACAACCAGGACCGCAGCACACCGAAATAATCAACAATACCTCCAAATTCTTCAGCTTCGACGCTTGAACAGGAGCTCTTGCTACCCATCGCTTCTGCTCTGGCGCCTCATCTCCAGAGCAGGTTGACGAGTTTTTATGGCAACTATATCTGTATCGCCGACGCCTGCTCCCATCTCGGCCATGTCCTCGAGACGGGGCCCGTTGACAAACAACCCCAATGTCGCCAATTCACCCCTCCGGGGAGCTTCCGCATTGGCTGGATATGCCAAGTCGAGGCGATCCCATGCCACTGTCCAGCGTGAAGAGGCCTATGGACAGCCTCCGCCCATGAAGAAGCAGGTCCTCGAGTATGGCATGCAACGGTCTGCACGCTCTCCCACGCGGGCATCACGGACTGTCCTAGTTCAGCGAGGCGTCTCGCGTCCTCCTGTCAAGGAGCGAGCTTCAAGAGCTGTGTCGTCGAGGGATATTGATACCGAGAAGGAAGCATGGAAGAAGCACCACCGTGCCAAGTTCCCCAAGATGGTCTTTTACTTTGAAAGCATCCCGGATGATATTCGTGCTAGACTAACAAAGCGAGTTACCTATCTTGGAGCTGTAAGTCACCTATTATTTTGCACGGACCTGCCTAACTGTTTTTAGCGCCAAGAACCCTTCTTCTCCATCGCCGTCACCCATGTCGTTACTACTCGATCGATCCCGCCTGAGAGGACAGAGGCCGAGCCTGATCATGGACATCATGATCACGAGCCGGAGGAGCAGCCTCAGACCATCAACCCGTCTTTATTGGACCGCAACACAGAAGCTAGGCGGAAGCTTCTCTTTGAGTTTCGGAACGCGCCTTCACGGTCACAGCACTTGGATGACCCCACGAAGCGTACCAAGGGTGCCAGGAACAACGATGTCCTATACAAGGCCCGTGAGATGGGAAAGAAGATCTGGTCGCTGGACAAGTTCCAAAACATGCTGTCAGTTCTGCTTGAGGGAGAGACTGGTAGCTCGTATAGCTCAAGGTCCACGAGCACGCGAGGCCACTACAGCAACTCGAGGGAGCCTAACCTGCTCCAGCTGCTGCACCACGAGCGTCTGAATGGTCCTTCAGACCGTGACCCTACGGCAGTTCACCGAGAGCTTTGTTATTTCAAGGGCCCTCACATTTATATCTGGGATATGGATGAGAAGCACAAGCCTGTCATGGTTCGCGAGTACCCCAAGGTGGCTAACAAGGCCGATGGAGAATGGCCACAGTTCCGAAGCGTTGGCAACGGCCGATGTCCTTTTGTGGAGGACCACGATGTCCCAGATAAGGACCACCGCCGGCAACAAGAAAAGGCACGAGCTGTCAAGCGAGAGGAATCGGTTCCTATTCTGCGACCGCCCCAGATCCCAGTGCCCAAACCAGTAACAGGCAAGCGGACACTTACAGAGATGGAGGATGCTCAGAACAGGGCCCGGGCTGTGACGCCAACCGAGCTGTTCAACCCCAAGGCGATCATGTCTAAGCCCGCAGACATCCGACAGAATGCCTTTACAGGACGTGCTGGTACCGGCAGGCTTTTTGCTGGAGAGCCCGTGGCTTCAGGTGTTCAGCCTTCCAACATCACCTCCGCTATCCGGTCTCAGATGGTATCGTCGACATCAGGTGTGAACGGAGCCAAGGCTGGAACGAGTAAAGAGGTTCATGGTCTGCAGCGAAAGGTGTTACAAAAGGCGGCTCCCGCGTCACACGATGTGAGCTCGCGTCGCCTTGCCGAGGTGTCAATGGATGTCGCATCTAGTAGATCGACAACGATGGGTCGACATACCTCGCGACCTGCTGATGTTCAAGAGGAGGAGCAAAAGACGGAACGGAAAACACAGCAGTCCCTTAAGAGCAAGCGGGATCTTAAGCCTGGCTACTGTGAAAACTGTCAGGACAAGTTCCGCGACTTTGACGAGGTGAGTTTGAGTACTATATCACAACAAACACATTCTAACTTGACCAGCACATTCTGTCTCGCAAGCACCGCAAGTTTGCCGAAAACGACGACAACTGGATTGAGCTTGATTCTCTCCTGTCACAACTCAAGCGAATGCCCAAGTTTACTCCGGGATCCGACGAGGAAGAGGGATGGTAATACGGCTTCCACCCTAATAGGATCAACCCTCAACTTTTCGCATCCCTACCATGGCCTCAGTGGCCCACGAATGCACCCAACGATACTCATGACGTCCATTTTCAGCTCAAAGCAGATTCCCTCGCAGTACAAAGCAAAGCAAGGCAAAACAAAACAAAACAAAAATCAAACAAACAACAGCAACAAAGATACCTCGTGACTTGGTTATCAGCGCTTAATGGTGGCATTTCCGGCGGTCCTCGGGTTGACATGTCTAATCTTGGTACTTTTTTCTTCTCTTCTACATGAAGTGCGCGCAACGAACGGCGTAGAGCGGCATGGTTTATGCACTTTCTTGATGGTCTACTCGACGCATTTTCTTGGTTTCTTGGGCTTATCATCCACAACGGGGCGTTTTGTCGCGGTCCATTTCGAGAGCATGGCTAGGTGATGGCTGAGATGGCATGGCATTTGACGAGGGAGGGAGAGGAGGATGGATTGGCATGGCTGGGGCTGAAGGGAGATGTCGCGTGGAACACAGCGATGAACACGATTACGACCGGCTGGTCTGATGTAGATATGCGGCTAGGACATGTATATGTATCTGCATGTTAGACATGAGCGGACATTGTGAAGAGACTTGTACAGTACCAGTAACTACAGATCATGTTCCTATCTCGATGTTGTGGCGTTCTGGCGCTGCAGTAGTTGGGGTTTGGCTGTGACGCTACGGAACTATACGTACTGTAGATGTTGTGCGTGCAGCCACTTGTCGATTTTTCGCTCCTTCTCACCGTGAAATTGCATCCCATTTTCCTTTTCCCCCATTGTCTTGTCACCCATTTTTGACTTTTCCCCCTTGCATTCAGGGCCCCTTGTAGATACCTCACTGCCCTTCATTCATTCGTTGGAGCTTCCTTCCCAGCTTTATGTTCCTGAGCTTAGACTAGGGGAGAAAACTTTGAGGTTGGCACTTTCCCGTCCCGTTCATCATTCTCCGATCACGGCTACACACCTCACTCCTTACAACATCTTGGCTGAACCCGTGACAGGTCAATTGACTGAAACATCTTCTCAACGGTTGCAATTGACCGACGTCCGAAGCGGTGTAAGCTCGCCCGCCTTGTCTTACCCGAATCCTCCGTCGACTACAAAAAGTCTGGGGAAGAGGTCGTCATCTCCACTCAATCTCAACGTCCTCGAGCTAGCAAGTGTATCTGAACTCTATCTGCCCGTCATGACACACCTCAAGGCCTCGAACCACGCAGAGTCCACTTTGGATATCTGGAGGCGTCTCCAGAGCCTCAAGGATGGCAAGGACAAGGTCATCCTCGACGGCGACAACCTCGACATTGCCTCCCTCATAGCTGTCGCCCGCTTCGGAATCAAACCCGAGATTAGCACTGATGAGGAGCTCGCCCGCCGCATCGCTTTGAGCGTTGATGCTCTTGCAGAGTATCTGTCTCACGAGTATGTCGTCTACGGAGTCAACACCGGCTTTGGCGGAAGTGCAGACGTTCGCACCGATGACTGGCTCGAGACCCAGATTGGCCTTCTCCAACACACCCAGAGTGCCATCATTACCATTTTCGACAAGAACCCGGGCAGCAATTCTGAGAGAGACCCTTCTCATGTCATGCCCCCTGAGTGGGTGAGGGGAGCTATTCTGGCACGAGCGAACCAGAACATGCGAGGACAGAGCTCCGTTCGGATGGAGGTGTTGGAGAAGCTGGTTAACCTGCTTCACTATGAGATTACCCCCATGGTTCCCCTCCGAGGCACCATTTCGGCATCTGGTGATCTCATGCCCATGTCCTACATCGCAGGAGCAGTCACAGGCAATCCGGATGTTTTCGTCCAAGTTGGCCAGGGCAAGTCGGCCAAGGTGATGCCGTCTTCTGAAGCTCTTCAAAATAGCGGCCTCTCACCAAGCGGACTCGGTCCCAAGGAGGCATTGGGTCTCATCAACGGCACAGCTCCCTCTGTCTCAGTCGCCAGTCTAGTTCTCCACGACGCACAGCAGCTTGCTGTGTTAGCCCAGATGTTGACAGCGTTCGCGTCTGAAAGCATGGGCGGCAACGTTGAGTGGGCAACCCCTTTTATCCATGCTGTGCGACCACACCCCGGCCAGATTGAGGCGGCTGCCAACATTAGAAGTTTCCTGCGCGGCTCAGAGTTTGTGGTTGGGCTAGAGAACCGAAAGAGAACTGGCGAAGGACTCTGGCAAGATCGATACTCGACACGAACAAGCCCTCAATGGATCGGACCTTATCTGGAAGACCTTTTACTTGCTCAGCGACAGATTTCTGTTGAACTCAACTCTACATCGGACAACCCCTTGGTTGATGCGTCGGAGAAAGACGGCCAGGTCGTGGGAGAGGTGTACTCTGGAGGCAATTTCCAGGCTGTCGTCGTTACATCTGCCATGGACAAGACACGACTCGCCTTGCAGATGATTGGGCGAATGCTCTTCTCCCAAGTCAGCGAAATCATCAGCCCCTCGACCAACAATGGCCTCGAGGCCAACCTCAACGCCAGTGACAAGGAGAATTTTACCATGAAGGGCATCGATGTTAACATGGCTGCCTACATGTCTGAACTGGCTGCTCTCGCCCATCCTGTGTCATCACACATCATGTCGGCTGAGATGCACAACCAGGGTATCAACTCACTTGCTCTGCTTTCAGCCCGACGTACGATGGAGGCGGCCGATCTTGTTGCGCACATGTGTGCTTGTCATATTTATGTCTCGTGCCAAGCTGTCGATCTTCGAGCGAGTCACCGACTTTTCCTGGAAGAGATTCGAAAGGTACTTTCGGACACATCGGAGGATGGGCCTTTCTATGCATTTGGGCTGGATGAGCCTGCAGTTGAGAAACTTGCCGAAGTAGTCTTCCCAACTGTTGAGTCAACTTGGTACGACCGGAATGCTGGCTCCTGGAAGGATCGCATCATACCTACTGTCGACGCCACTATGGCTCCTATTACCCAGTTCCTGACAACTGAGGAGCTCAACTGCCCTTTGTCTTGTCTTGCTGTGTTTAGGGCACAGTTCCACAAGTCGGTTGTTGCAACTGCCTCGTCCATCTTCTACCCCAACATGGCCATTCGTCCTGTTGATGTGGCCACCAAGCTGGGTGACGGTACTGCTCCTCTGTACACGTGGGTTAGGTCAAAGCTGGGAGTCCCTATGCACTGCGGTCTTGATGATGATCCTCTGTACAATGCGCAGAAAGGCCTCCCGACAGAGGACAAGAAGACCATCGGTAGCTGGGTGAGCATGGTGTATGAGAGCTTGAAGGGCGATCTGATGGATATGGTGATGGAGGGTATCGAGAGCTCGCGGGCGGCACCACGAACAGAGGAGCAATATGAGAAGCTCTGCGCCGAGTTGGATGAAAAGTACTAGACGATGTAAGAGTATAAGATAGACATCTCACCTCATGATTAATGATGGCCAGGTCAGGCTTTATAATATACCTACTTGGAGTTTTCAATACTAGAGATCGATTTGAATGAGTGATAATATGAATGATGATGAATATGGAACAACACTGGGCGTGATAAATCAACAGTCATGTAGCACAGTGTGTACAAATATGCACTGTGTCATGCAGCAGGCAGTCGCATGCAGTCACCTTAGGTACGTACACCTTCACTTTCAACCACCTCACTCACCTACATCCAGCAACCATCTCTTTTCAACATAATCCCGTTCTATCAGTCGCTTCAGATCAACTTCAACAATGTCGGACCATCCATCGCGAGACACCTCATCCCCCTCACCTTCTCCGCAAACGGCTTCTCCCATGCCGCTCGCCGATAACGACACCGCCAGCGGCGCCGCATCACCAGATCTTCCTCTGACCATGTCCGCGTCAGTTGTTCTAGCAGATCTACCGCGAGATGCAAGTGCGGCACTGGCTAGCGCAGGCAGCTTCAAGACGGACAAGGTGGTGGTACGATTTAAGCCTGTTGGGTCGGCGCCGTCGTTGGCGCAAGACGTGTGCAAGATCAGCGCAACAAGACGGTTTGAGGAGGTTGTGAGGTATCTCAGAAAAAAGCTGAGGTGCAAAGATACCGACAGTGTCTTTTTGTACGTGAATAGTGCATTTGCGCCGTCGCTGGATGAAGTGGTGGGCAACCTGCACCAGGTAAGTCGATGAGATGATGCCAAGGCGTTGCTGACAATCATAGTGCTTCAAGAACGCTCATGGCCAGTTGGTCGTGGTCTACTCGCTAACTCCTGCTTTTGGATGATGCTATTGCTGGTATCTTCTATCTACCAATGCTCGAAAGCGGGACATTGTCTACCCAAACTCCGGATATGCAACTCTAACTATATCGATGCACCGAACGTCAAACGCTATCAAATGCAGCCTCCATGGGTATCAATATTTGCTCACAGATCCTTGACCGCCTTGGTAAAGCTATCAAGTTCCTCTGCTGAGATGGGATATGTGTGCTCAGGGCCGGGATATTGTCGTGTCTTGACTTCATCCCTGTATGCCTCGATGGCACGCATGCTCTCACCCCAGACATCGCCATATTTCTTGACAAACTTGGGCAGGAATCTTCCAGGGGGGAAGTTTCCAGTCATGTCGACTTGCACCAGAACCTGACCAGAGCAACCGTTACCAGCGCCGATGCCGATGGTGGGAACGGACAATTTTTCGGTGATGAGGGCGGCTACCTCTGCAGGAACAGCCTCGACTACCATGGCGAAGCAGCCAGCTTCTTGAATGGCGAGCGCGTCCTCAAGAATGCTCATGGCACCGGCGCTCGTCTTGCCCTGGACACGGAAACCACCAAGAGCGTTCTGTCTTTGAGGCGTCAAGCCAACATGGCCCAGCACTGGGATGCCAGCAGTGGTAATCTTCTTGATGGTGGAGGCCATCTCCTTGCCTCCCTCAAGCTTGACACCCTGAACACGGCCTTGCTTAATGAAGCGAATGGCGGTAGCAAGAGCTTGCTCGGGTCCAATCTCATATGTGCCCATTGGCAGATCACCGACCTGTTGAGTTAGCATTAGGCTTGACAGAGGAGAAGGATTCTTACTGTAAAGGCTGACTTGGTTGCCCTCGCAACAGATCGACAGTGCAAAAGCATCTCTTCCAGGACAACCTCACTGGTATCTTCCATACCGAGAGCAACCATGGCAAGACTATCACCAACAAGAACCATATCCATACCGGCATGGTCGGCGACATGGGCACTGGGAAAGTCATGGGCAGTCATGACGGTGATGGGCTCACCCTTGCGGTGCAGTGACTTCAAAGTTCCGAGGGTAACCTTTTTCCGCTGTGTTGTCGGGGGCGATCCCATGGGGGAGTGGGAGCTGGACCGGATCTGCACGGCACCTCCGATGGCGACGGGCCGGGGGCCGAGGGTCCATGCCGGCCGGGATCGGAGCCGGGGCAGGAGGGAAGAGGCACGCCTCGAGATGGGATTGATGACTGAGGACATTGAATAGAAGAGGAGTTGTGATGAGAGTGGGTAGGAGTGGGCAGATGTGTTGGGTGTGACAGTCTGTATTGGCAAATATTGAAGCAAGAGTATACACCTCAAAGTGCCAAGAGGGACGTTTTTAATGCGGAAAAAAAATATGAGAAATCAGATGGGCGACTTGGCAGTTCTACGTAATTGTAGAATTGTGAATTAATTCAAAGACGGGGGCGTGCCGGCTTTTTATTCAACGTTGACCATGATGAACCCTACGTTGTATATTTGAGTATCTCTCTGTCCGGGACCCGTTGGTGTTTTTCACAACCCCTGCGCCCCACGGCCACGGCTCATTCTTAGCCTTCCAATGGGAGATTAAGCACCGCCCGACGCCGAACGGCCGAAGGAGCCGGTTTTGGTTGGGAAAATTGGTGGGGTGTGGTAGAATTAGTAAACTAGGGCGGTGTGGTGAAGGCATTTCTGGTGCCTGGGGATGGTCGTGCCTTGTTGTGGCAAGCCGAGGCAGTTCGGTCATAGGGCGTAGGGCGGAGGTTTAGGGAGGAGTACCGAGGAGCAGCTCGTGATGGGGTTTGGATAAGTAAGCTATTGTCTGCTGTTCTGTTTGATCTTATTAGATGCTGTCTGAGTTTCCTGCATGCCATTAGACTCAGAGTCAAAGCTGATGTTAAACACAAGGTTAGTAAGAGAACCTGTTTGGTCAACAAACTGCATCAAGAACCTTGAACCATGCAGTGATTGACCTGGACATTTGTCTTTGTTCTCGTTCAACCCTAGTTACCGTCACACGCAGTCTGGAATAGACTCTTGGGTAACGTCAACAACCCATGTCACAAGCATGATTCTATATGTCTTGCCTCATGCTGTTTCAATGAAATGCCGTTTCATGAATGTCGCAATAAACCAATAAAGATCGACCCGCCCCGTGCGTGTCCTGTCGTGTCGTGGCGTGCTTTGTCGCAGCTATTCTGATTCCGGATAACTCGCGCTTATCGATACCTTGTGGCCCCGCTGTATTCGTTGGCGGCACCTGCCGTCTGCGCTGCGGCTTATCACGGTCGTCCACATCATATCCTCGTGACTTGCCTTTGCTTGACCTTCCCATCCCAACCCGTCACTTCATTTCACCACCACCTCCTCCTTGATCTGCTATTTTCTTCTGCAACCATTCTGTCTACAGCATTCGCGCCCTCTTCGACCGTACTTCCCCGACGCTGCGATTAGACCGCCCGACTCTCGCCTTCTCTCGCCCTCTATTCTACCGAGTATCCCCTACCCGCGCCGGTCCCGGAGCTCTTTGGATACCCTCATAACCCCACATTCGCGCCGACTTCGACCGCCATCATGAGTAGCCCACGCCGCAGGATCGAGACCGATGTGAGTGGGATACCCTCTGGTGCGACCGCAATGTTCTCGCTAACCAGTGTCGCAATGTTAGGTCATGAAGTGCGCTACAACCTCTGGATAGTGTCAGTGTCACAGCGCTAACAGGCTTGCAGGATGTACGAGGCACGAATCTCTGCCGAGGCTACATGCTGACAGATACAGGCTCATGAGCGACTATGAAGTCACTCTGGTCAACGACAACAGTGAGCAGCATTGGGCTCTTTGTCGACTTTGCTAACAGGAAGCAGTGTATGCCCTCCCGCCCTGCTACCGCCTCATCTCCTAACGATCGTCCAGGCAAGAATTCTTTGTTAGGTTCAAGGGTCCCGCCGAGAGTCAGTACGCCGAGCTTGTGTCGAGGTCTTGCTGACATTGGACAGCTCCGTTCGAGGGTGGCATGTGGAAGGTTCACGTTGAACTCCCGGATACCTACCCATACAAATCCCCTAGCATTGGATTCGTGAACCGTATCTTCCACCCAAACATCGACGAGCTGTACGTGGCCTGCCATTCAGACGAGATTCTTCTAACTGTTTAGCTCCGGCTCCGTGTGCCTCGATGTCATCAACCAGACCTGGTCCCCGATGTTCGATATGATCAACATCTTTGAGGTGTTCCTCCCCCAACTTCTACGATACCCGAACCCGACCGATCCTCTGAATGGCGAAGCCGCGGCGTTGTTGATTAGAGAGCCCAAGAGCTATGATGCCAAAGTGAAAGGTGCGAAACAAGACTTGTTCAGAGGCCTTGGCTCACAGCAATAGAATACGTGCAGAAATATGCCACCAAGGATGCGGCCGACGACGCGGGAGCTGAGAGCGAAGACGACGACGACATGTCCTCGGTGGCGAGCTTCGGCGACGACGACGACGAGCCCGCGGGCCAGATGGACGACGTATAGAAGGCCTATCATGGCATTGACTTGGGCGAGCGTTTTGTTTCGTTTGAAATATGGCGTCATGGGGGCAGGGCACGGCAGGGAGCTATCATCGGACGGAGTTGCAGAAGCCCGCGGGCACTGGCATTGCCTCGACCGGGTTGACGGAATTGTTTCGTAGGATTGGGTAGGTCGGCGCAGGACTTCGGTGGTCAACCGATTGGATTAAGCTGGCCGACACTGCCCAAGGATGAAGGTCGCAACAGAGCCGCTGAATATTTGAGTTTCGTATCTATAACATGGGCAAAGCCCGGGTATCATACTGGAAAACAGGACATGCAAATCAATGTGACGTCGAGTTAATCTGAATCATAATCCACCAGTCCTGTTATCGCTTCTTGTGCCTGTGCTTTGGATGGCGCTTCTGGCTCTTGAGGTCTTTTCCTTTTGAGTCCTGGGAGTCTTGAAGTTCCTTTTGGCTCACTTCGATTGTTGAGTAGGAAGGGGTCTGTAGATGCTCTGGTGTTCCCTATAAGCTCCGATACCAGCGTCTCTTTGCGCTTCGACGCCTCCTTTTCTGTCTTGAGCTTGCCACTGCTCTTTGCTGGCTTTTCATCACTCTTAAATAGGGGCTTGGAGAGGACACGGTCTCGTCCATTCTCGTCCGCTGGCCCAAAATCAACCAGGGCTGCGCGCCGAGCGTCCTCCTCTGTAGCAGGTACAATGTCAATCCCAAGGCTCATCCGGTCCTGCAAGTTTTCCGTTGCTGCCGCAGTGCGCTCACGCTCCTTGCGTTCTTGACGAAAAGCTTTTCTTAGCTTTTGGTTCTGCGTGTATGGGTCTTTCCAGTGCTTTGATGATGCCTCAGCGAGATCGTCGATCCGTTCCGTAGCCAGCTTCAACTGTTCCCTATCCTCGATAGTTCTTTCCAAACTGGCAAAGGCATTTTTTCTTAGAGCTTCTCTCTCCTGATCTGTCAAGATGACAGCATCCCCCTCACGCGGGGCATCCTCACCCGTATCCCTCTTCTTCCCGCCCTCAACAACAACATAAGCCGTGTTCTTAGGATCTGTCCTGATTTCAATCTCACCGCCGCAGTCTGCATGACGAAAACGAAAGCTCCATATCGGTGTTGAAAAGTAGCTGCCAGCTCTGGACTTTGCAGCGTTGAAGCGGACGCCCTGGCCGATGATTGTGGGCTTGGGGCAGGATGTGCACCAGATCGGGAAGGGCATCTCGAAGCGCACGGTTTGTCCGCCGGCGCGGTAGCTGGGCGGGCGCTTCCCGTGGAGACGGTTTCCGCTGGTTGTTCCCTCGACGTCTGGAGGGACGTAACGGCCCATGTTGAAGCCCTGCATGATGACGGTTGGTGGTTGGTTGGCGTGTGTAGATGGAAGAGTCCAGATGGAAGGTTTGGCTTGATATGCCGACAGCCCTCGGTGTGGGCCTGGAGCTGACAATGGCGCTGCAGATAACAAAGACAAGATTTTTAATGAATGTCAAACAATCTGACGTCTGATTTCGCGTATACAGATGGCGTTGGAATGATTGTTGTGGGCTGCAACTCCTCGTGTCGTTGATGTTTGTGGAGGAAGTTGAGTGACATTCAAGGCGCACAGTTCAAGATATCATGTGAACCCACACGGTGAGCCTAACAATCACCGAAGAGCACAACAACAAACTACGGCTACACTTAAATGGATATCCGCCATTACTGCTATTTCCATCTATTTTAACGAGTTTTGATCCTTCTCGCATTCGTGAAAAGCAATAGTTGTCTGTAGGGTTGTGAGAGCTACTTCTTGTGCTACGGCAAATGCACATGTCACCACCACCAAAAGCAGTGTAACGTCTCATTCCAGCATCTCTCGTCTCTGTATGGTCTGAATCGATTCCTTGTGAAACTACATATCCCTCTTGGGCTGCGTCTACACCAATCCGATTACTGGTTGCTCACCTCGAGCTTCCCGATTATAGGTTCAAGCAGCAGGGGCAAGCACTCGGCCGCGTCCTGGCCAAAGAAAAAGTCTTTGGAGTTGGAATCTTTGCCTCTGTCTTTTGCGGCCTCCATGTTGATGACGGCCACTCGTGCGCCTTTGTCTCGAGCCTGGTCGATGTAGCCTGCTGCTGGCCATACCTTGGCTGAGGTACCGATGACGAGCATCAGGTCCTATCTCTGTTAGCATACATATTCAACTGTGTATAAAGAAAACTCACAACTTTGCCCTGGTCTAGCCAGTTGTCAATGCCCTCCAGCAAGTCCATATCCAGACCCTCATTAAACCACACCACACCAGGCCTCTGGAATCCCTTCCCACACTTGGGACACTTGGGGATCTGATCCTTTGGTATTGGCTCCAGAGGATGGAAAGGGTCCAGGAGGGGAAAAGGCTTTCCGTCCTCTGGATCCTCTGAGGCCGGGGCGAGGGCTGGGAAGAAGGGATCGTCGTAGTTGCCGTGCTGGATCCAATCACACCGACCATTGGAGCACTTGATGTCGAAGAGGGAACCGTGAAGTGTGCGAAGCTGCTCCTGAGGGTGGTTTGCCCTTGGAGAGAGGTCTGAGGGATGTTAGCATCTCTTCTTTATGGTAATAGCTAAAGACTTACTATCAACATTCTGCGTCAGGCACAAAAAGTCCTTGTTCTTCTCTGCCAGCGCAGCCAAGGCGTAGTGAGCAGGATTCGGCTTAACATTCAAAGCCATGTGACGCCGATATCCGTAAAACATCCAGACAAGACCAGGATCTTGACCAAAGGCGGTCGGCGTGGCAAGCGTCGTGGCATCGTAATTTCGCCAGAGACCGCCGGCACCGCGAAAGGTGGGAAGACCAGACGAAGCTGAGAGTCCGGCGCCGCAGAGGGCGAGGATGCGCTTGCTGGAGCGGAGGACCTCGTGGAAGGCGTCTACGTCAGTGCTGGGGGGCATGGTGGCTGAGAAGCGGCGTGTAAGAGAGTGTAGATGGTGAGATTTGTATAGTTGGCGATGAATTCGATGCAAAGATGTCATTGTTGATGGCTGGTTTATACCTGCAGAATGAGGTACATTCGAGGTCTGGAGAGTCACTCGCCGAGGGCCATGATTGGATGCCCGGTCGATCTTCCTTGATGAAGCTGCAACCCGCAACTTGGCCCCCAATGAGGCTCTCGTGCAACTCTGTTGATCTAGGCTGAATTCAGGCAACAGAGGCCATTTTCAGGCTTCTACCATTGGCTGTGATGATTGGTTCATTGTAGTATATGCATCTGCCTCGTGTGTTGGGTAGAGTAGAGAAGTGATGCCATTGGCTTGTTGTAGCTGCATCCGGTGCCTGATATCGTGTCACCCCCAACCGACGGCCATTTTCAGCATGGGACCAGGCTTTGCATCAGTTGAAGGGTTCAAGTCACCCATGGTGAGAGCCTACGAATGCTCACTGTCAGGACTCTTGCCTGAAACTTGGGGGTTTGCTGATGCCATGGATAAGTTATAGAAGGAAGCTACCCCAGTCTGAATAACTCGGTTACAGGAGCAGCTTTGGAACCGAATGCTTAGCAATTTCTTGTTGATTCTTATGGTGGGTAGCACGTTCAGCAACCGTCAAAGACGATGAACACGTTTAGACCACACGACAACATACCAACAGTCATCGTCATCTTATAAATAGCCTCATCTACCCCTTTCATGCCCATCTCACCAAAAGCTGGAACCGACGGCATTCCAAAAATTCTGCGAATACTCTCACCTGCAAGCGATGCCCGATCCAGAAGTGACCGAACAGGGGGATCCCGAAATTGCACACTCTCCAGCCCTGTGGTCAAACGATCCAGGGGGACGGTGCGGCGAATCAGGCCCTGGAAGATGCCCCAAGCTCCGATCCTACAGCGGGCCCGTACTACTGATTAACGCCGGGAATATCGCCTGAAAACCCCCGGGGCTTGGCTCGTGGTGATGAGGGTGGCCATTCAAAAAGGCTGGCCATCCCCAGAAGGAAAAACGAGACACGGTCAAGGACATTCATTCACTCGTTAATCATATTTGTCTGCCACTCTCTAACGTTAAACGTATTCACTCTTTAATATTCAAAATGGCTGCCAAGATCCTCCTCGCGGCTCTCCTCGCCGTCCCCGCCATCGCCAAAACCGACCTTTCAGGCTGCACCTCATACGACTCGATCCTCTTCCAGGGCAACTCTCCCTACGTCTCCAAGATCTACTACGTCCCCGACACGGGCGAGGTCTGCGAGTTCCTCGACTGCGGTGGTGGCCGGGCTCCTCCCAAGACCACCGTCCCCGGCTGCGACTCGTACGAGGGCACCGAGACGTACTCGCCACGCTTCATCAACCCTAAGACTCTCGGTGAAGTAGCCTCCGAGACGGACGCTGCTGGTTCTGAGACTGAGGATTCTACTGCTACCATTACTGAGGCTCCTTCTTCTACCAAGGCTGGTTCCAAGACTACTGGCGAGTCTGAGGAAGAGACAACCGCTGAGGACGAGGAGACTACAGCTGCTGAAGAGGCTTCAACCGCTGAAGACACCACCGCCGAGGAGACCACTGCCGTCGAGCAAACCACAACCACCAAGGACGCTTCCTCGACCATCACCACCATCACCACGCAAGGAACTCCTGCTGCCGGCTCCGGTGCCGCATCCTCCGGCTCCGAGTCCGAGTCGGAGGCGGCCGCCACCCCGGCCTCGACGGTTTCCACCGGTGGCGCCGTCATGCCCACGGCCGGCGCGTTCCTCGGCTCTTGTCTTATGGCCGGTGCCATGTACGCTGGACTTTTGTAAAGTCTGACAGTAGCATTCTCTCGGCAGGGTTGAGGGTTTGGGATAATGCTGTATTTGTACTTAGGGTCTCACTAACCCGTATCCAAACGTAATTAACCCTTCTGTACCGAAGCTATCCATTCCGTCCATTCCGTCATGTCACGTAGAACAAACATGCTCCTTCCTGTCACGGGTGAAGATAGCGCCGCCACCATGATAAACAAGCGTTATGAAAGCCTTCCAATTGGTTGCACACCCCTAGGTTTTCTTGTATCCCCGACTTTTCAGGCAACAGATCCCGACCTAGACCCAGAAGCCGGTTCCACCACGACCAGCAATAGGGCGTTGGTCCTGATAGGCTGCTCGCCGGATCGTGGCCTGGGTAAGGCGAAATGACAAGATCGAGATACGCACATGGGAGTTATGGTGAGATGAAGGAGCCGCATATAACGGCAGGGTAATTCCAAACGTGCTTCCAACAATTACAAATAGCAGGGTTCATCTTGATACTTGAATGCTTTGAGTCCTCAGCGTCGTTTGATTCATATCACTTTGTCTTGATACTCAACTTCCCCGTCTGTCCACGACAGCTTCATTCCAACACCTCCTTTGTCTTCCCCGCAAACCTTGGATCTCTTCCCGTCTCACCTGACCCGCCCTTTGACCAACCGTCTCTTCCAGAAACCGGATTGACTAAACTCGACATCAATCACACGCCCCTCCCACGAGGCAAGCCGCCACTAGCCGTACACCCTTGGCTCGCCCTGCCTACATCATCATCTCCGTCCTTGAGAGAGAGAGGAAACCTGACAGTCATCCTTGTCGAAGCAACAACTGTCCAGATCCATCATCACGATCCATCAACATCTTCCCCTCGAAAACAACACCAATAGTTCCAAGATGGGTTCTCGAGACTCGTTTGTTCAGGCCGAGGGCGTTCCCCGGTTCTGGTATCGCGACAACTTCTTCCTCACAAACGACAAGTCCTACTTGTGTCCCCAGACCTTTAACCAGTCCCTCGATGACAACTGGTGGAGCAGCCCTCTACAACATGGACAGCTCCAGAAGGTCTTGAACAACTGTCTGACCTTGGCAGTCTACTGGACTCCACAGACTGCCGAAGATATGAAGAGTAAGTTATTCACTCGTCTCTCGTTCGCATGCTGACTCGATAGAAAACGGCATCGCTCGTCCCAAGGATGGTTCTCGACACAAGATGGTTGGCTTTGCCCGCGTGGTGACCGACTACGTCACCCTGGCCTATCTCACAGATGTCTTTGTTGTCGACGAGTTTCAACGCCGGGGACTGGCCTCGTGGTTGATGCAAGCCCTAAAGGAACTCGTCAACGATTGGAAAGACATGCGTGGCCTCCTCCTCATGACCCACGACCAAGCCGCTGCAAGGCTCTACCGGAGGGAGCTCGGCGCCATGGATTTCGAAAAGGGCCCCTCGGCCGGCTTGGTGATGCTGGAGATGCCCGGTCCTGCAGAGAAGCCCACCCCCAAGCATTGATGACTTTTGTCTCTCTTTTATGGTTTATAGCTAGCGGTGCAATTATCTTGGGTTATCGAGAGTCAACGTTCTCTTGTTTGAGAAGCTAGCGCTGTGACCCAGACATGGCGGCTCGCATCTCGATGGCGCGCTTGTAAGGGGGGGCAATAGGCGGCTGGACCGGATCTAGAGAGACATAGTCCTCAGGGAGCTGGTACGAGGCATCGGAGTCAAAGGCGGATAGATCTCCACAAGCAATGAACGGTGCGATCCATCGACTGCTTCTCTCAGTGTCCTCGAGCGTTTCGTCGTAGACCTGCATCTCCACGATCCCCTCGTCCGCGCTTGACGCATCCTGCATTTCGACGTCCTTGGTTTGCTCCTTGAGCATCTCTTCCAGTCGTCCACCAACGCCGAGGGGTTCCTCAAGACTGGCTCTGAATCCAGGCGGTGGCTGGAAGTTGATGCAGACAATAAAAGCTTCGACGCTGCTGGCACGGCTACTGCGCGGCTTGGCCACAATGACCTTTTCGAAAAAGATCTTGAGCTGAGCGTAGAGCACGTCGACGTTTCTTCCGCGGAAGATCTTGGCCACAAACTTGCCTCCAGGCTTCAGAACGCAGAGAGCCAGGTTAAGCGCAGCAAAGAGTAGTTGCGACTGGACATAGATGTCAAGATCGTGAAGACCTGTAACGTCGGGGGCACCGTCGCTCAGAACCAGATCAACAGGGTGCGATGCCTGGTTTCCCGCTGTTTTTGCGTCGTAGGAGGGATCAAGGGCTGACAGCAGCAGAGGCACTGTCGCCGGGTGTGTAATGTCGGCGCGTAGAGTCGTGATACCCGCGAGCGGCGAGATAGGTTGAAGATCGATCGACACAATCTTGACATCGTCTCGTGGCTTAAGAGCCTCCTCTTGCTTCTCTCCATCCTGCTCGGTAATGATGGCCTCGTCGTCCTTGGGCAGAATACCCAACATCTGCTGTCGGAATTTCGCCTCCTTATCCTGCCATGCTGCTCGTCCAAACTTTTCACCCTTGATCAATACTCGCGAGAGAACTTGCGACCAACTTCCCGGCGCGGCGCACAGGTCGACGACTCTGGTGACATTGGAGAAGAGGTCGAATTCTGCACCTGTTAGCAGAGCCCCCTCTAGACGCCGACTGACTCACCCTCATCCAGCTGGAGCAGCTTGAAGGCGCTTCTCGCACGCCATCCCTGCTCCTTGGCGAGCCTGTAGTAGGCGTCTCGCTTGTCCTTGGACGATTTTCCCATGACGTTGGCTTGAGTGTAGGATGGACGTTTAATTTTCACGGCGAATTTTGCCCCGCGTTATTGGTGGGGTCTGCCCCTCCAAATGCCTGCCCTAGCAACTCTATCATTGAAGCATTAGGTAGACTGAAGAATGCGAATAATTCGAATAATTCCGAGATAATCATTGAAATATTGCTGGATGAATTGCTCTAACGCCTTCTATGTCTTCACATTATCATCGCTTTGTCTAAACACCAAGCTCATCCCCAACAACTTCCAGCGCTTCTCTCAGCAACCTCCCCACCTTCTCATCGCCAGTTACACCTGATGCTCGCACAATCAGAGGATACAACCTCAGTAGATGCTTTCTTCCTTCGCTCTCCACGCCGCTCAACTCGGGAATAGCTCCGCTCTCACTCTTCATGTCCACCAACTTTCTTAGAATCCACAACAGCTCCTTTCGTTGGCTCAACGGCTGAGGCATCTTTCCTCGGAGAGGTTGATCGGCAATGTACGCTCTGAGCGTCAACGCACATCGTAGAATGAGGAACGGGGCAGCTGTACTGGCGACCCGGCCGTGGAGGTTAACTGGTGACTCGGCAAACCGTTGGTGTTTCGCGTCTGGGGACTTTGGTGTCGGTGGCTGAATGACGATTGCCGGCTCCTCCTTGGCGGATATCAATGCAAACAACTCGTCACAAGCAACATACGCCATGCTTGTGCGTTTTGTGGGCGGGATTGCTACTGTCCGTCCTGCACGCGAAGTATACAGAGCTGCTAGGCCCTTCTCATGGCTGCCGTTGATGATTGACTCCTCAGCTGGTGAAGGGGCGTGGATAATGGATGTTCTGAAAAGACTCTCAGCATAAGACTTGCGAGCCTTTTCAGAAACAACTTCAGCACCAAGTGCTGGAATGATGAGTTCTCTTAGCTTGTGGAAAGAAGCAATGTCGAAAGTCTCATCAGCCGCAAAGTCGGTTCCAGAAGCAGCACTCTTGCAATCTGCGCTCAAGATTCCATCAGCGATAGCGACGATCGTGGTCCAAATGTCTTGCACCACTCCTCGCTTGATCTCAAGGGCTATTATCTGGGATAACGTTGCCTCTAGAATGACAAGGGCTGTAGAGGTGGCCAGTCTCCATGGCTGAGTAGATTTGGTGATGGTCGAGAAGCCATACTTGAGTGCAATCGGATTACACAAAGCCTTCAGTGCCTCGTAAAATGCACCGCTGCGGTAGATGTCGGGATCTGCCGAGTGGTTGAGGATGAGGTTCTCCAGCGTCTTCATGCTCGCCTTTGAGAGCGCAATGTAAGTGCGTTTGGGGCCTGGCTTGGACGAACTGGCTTGGAATGGCAGGACAACAAAGTCTGCAACCTGAGTAATCATAGCAGATGGGACTCCATCAATGTCTGTCCGGATCGTCTGAACCGCTTCGACAATATGTGCCTGTAAAGGTGTCACATACTCGATATCCTGGACATAACTACCAACAGAAGCCTCGTCCAAGGTTGCTCTCAGCAGACTCAGTATTCTTGCAACTCTGTCCACAGTGAGATCATCTTGAATCAGCCGATAAATCTCTGACAAGGCAGAAACGTAGGCAATAAGGCAGTTCTGGTTATCCTCAGTCTTGCCTTTGGCAGGCTTTGAGGTTGGAACTCCTCTTGCCCACAGATCCCACGCAAAGTCGACGGTAGTCTTGTTGAACACTGACTTGCCGTCATTGCTTGTCTGGGACAAGACGTGGGCCAACGCCTTGAACGTTGCAGTATTAATATCCAAGACTTGAAAGTCGAGGAGTGTCGTGAAGTGGGTGAGAAGTTCTCGCCAAAGGTGATTGAATGAAGGATGGACGGTAAGAATGTCGAGGTAATTGGCCAAAAGACTCGAGATACCGTTGAGAACCACGACCGCCGTCTCGGTCCATTCGGTTCGGTCACTCTCATCCGCTTCTTCCGATTGCGAGGCAGATATCTCTTGTTCGATTGACGAGAAAAGCTTGAAAATGACTGACTTGACACAGATTGACCATGACTCAGGGCTGAGTCGATCACCATAAGCATCGAATATTCGAAGTAAAGTCTGAATCGCACTGTTGCGCAGCTCCAGTCTATCGTCTGTGGTGACATTTGTCAGGCGAAGTAGGAGAAGCATCCACAATGCTGCGTCAGAATTCTTGTGGTCGTGATCGGCAGCCATCCTCTCAAGATCAGAAACCTCTGTGCCCTGCATCATCTCTGCTGTGATGTCTAGGGACTCATTCTTTGCCGAAAGGAAATCTGACAAGACCCAGAAGAACGTGACCGTCTGTAGAGTGTTAGCTTGGTCAAAAACCGACGAGATAAGCTTACAGTCAAGGCAATGTTGAGATCATCGTCCTGCGAACAGAATTTGTAGAGGGTATCAACCAAGATCAAGAAGCAAGAGTTTGGCAACGACGCCAAAAAGTCGGAGCAAATGAGTTGAAGTGAGTTGAAAGAAGATCGAATGAGCTTTGCTGATCGGGTATCAAGCAGAATCGGGTTGGCGAGCGAGCCCCGACGGTCGGCAGGATCAAACTCTTTTGATATAAAGATGGTGCCAATGATTTCGAAAGCAATGTCCCATCCCTTGACGAGACTCTCTCCAGAACCTTCAATAATGCTCTTGAGGCCTTCGAGGATGATCTTGTGAATGTCGATATCAGTGGAGTGGCTGGCAACAGAAACCTCCCGGTCTCCTTTGAGCAGGGGCGCCAGCGATTTCCGCAGAGCCTCGAAAAACCGGAGCTGGATGTCACCACGGATTTCTTCTGGGAACGAAGACGTGACACTAGCAGCCTCCAGAACCAGCTTCACAAGTATATCTGCTGCTCTGGTCCGAACAGATGAATTCGTGGTAACAGAGGTCAGTGTTTCGATGAGCTCTTCAGTCAAGACATCCCAGCCTGACTCTTCTGGACTGTATTCCAATAGTCTTTCGATGTTGATGGTGGCAATCTCTCCAAGCTTGGCAAGTGCAAATTGATCCTCTTGTGTCGAACCAGAGCTCAACTGCCCCGAAAATCGCCGAGGCTGTGTGGTTGGGGTCTTGAGCTGCCCATCAGATTGGGGCTGCTTGGCTTCGGGTGGTTCAACAGGCCTCTGCATCAATAGATTGCAGATGGCTGCTACCACCTCCAAGAACGACTCATTAGGAAAGTCAACAGTACTCTCAATCAGTCTCGACGCAGCTGTCTCGACGGCACGAACCTCGGATCCAAAGTTGGCCATGAGGGTAGCAGCCTCGCTCTCACCCCCTTGATCAGGTCCCCGGCTCATAGTCGGAGTCCTGCCTGGAGTCTTTCCGCTCACGAATAAGACAAAGTCAGCTTGCTGAAGCGTCTCAAGGATTATGCTCCATGCCCCTCCTAGGGTTGGGCCTAGTGCAATGCCCAGGTTTAGAAGTGCCCGTAGACACAGCAAGTTTCGAGTATTGAGCGACGCCACAGAAGCATCGAAAGATGCATGCCGCTTCTCGGAAGTGGGTGTAGCAGGGGTCAGGCTGTCGACGCTTAACAGCCCTCGAGCATTGCTAAAGAGACTCGATGTATCCGTAGGCGTGCTTGGGGTCTGGGGGCGAGCTTGGCCGGCATTGACGCAGGCTGTAAGAACGTTGGGTGGCACGGCTGCTTTCCCTAGAGTCGTAAGGAAGGCATCTCGAGGAGTAGGGAGTTGCAGGAGGCCAGCGACGTGAGCAAAGCGCTGAAAGGCTCGTACCAGGCCATGGTAGTACTCAGAGTCAAGAGCAGCATACAAGAATGTAGAGCAGGTTGCAAGAATTGCAGGCCAGCACTCTTCGACGATGGTGGCGCAAATCTTGACCTCTGAAAACAGGGGATGCTCCTCCAAGGATAGGGGGTTTAGAGGGACTGGGTTTCTCTTGAAAGACGCTGACCTCTCTAACCTCCCCTTGGCTGAATTGTCTTCTGGTGCAGGAGAGTCACGGCCTGTCTCTTGCTTTGAAGTCTTCTTCCGACTCCGAGTGTCACTAGGGACTGTGAGGGGAAGGATAAACTTTGCAAGCCCGTCAGAGACAGATGAGATGCAAGCCAAAACCAAGCTGTAGACATATGATTCTGGGATAGTCGGAGCTTCCGTCTTGTCGAGTTGGTCAATGCATGGAACTCGAACAGAGCTCCACTGCGTGCTGATACCAGTGGTTGTAGTCTCGGATCCAACGGGACCAGCCATAAGCATGCCACTCGCCTCGATGATGGCTTGATCGGAGGAGGAATTCGGGTTCAAATTGGCTACCGGTAGTGTCGATTGGTGTCCAAGACCAATCACCGCAGGCTTCTCGGTGCTCAATCGTACGAACGTGGCTATCAAGGGCTTGAGAACATCCTTTTCTCCTTCTTTGGCGTCAAACATGGCAAATATGCGTCGAAGAAGGGCATGTTCAGCAAATATTCCTCGAAAAACCTCCATGCACAAGGCCCTCTTCCATATAGAATCATCTTGATCGAGGAGTTGTGTCAAAATCATAAGTGATTCACCACATTCCGATGGTAGGATACTGATGTGTCTGCGGATCATCGTGTAGAGGATACGCACGAGTCGTACGGTGGTTGCAAAGTTTGGCTTCCCCTTCAGAGCACTCATGATAAGAGGCATGACCCTGACCCGCAGGATCTGAGCCTGCTCGGGATGGTTGCTGAAAACGCTTGCATGGTTGGTAATGACGGACTCGATGAGCTCCAGGCCGAATGTCTGTGGAAGTCCTGTGACTCGAATGAATTCCGGGCGTTGATTTTCTGTCATGAGACATAGATCATTAAATATCTGTTGGTTAGAACCTGGTCAAAAAGCGGCCTATACACATACCCGATAAGCGTCAAGCGCTGCAGGACGAGTCTCTTCTGGGTCGCCTGTCGGAACATCGCCAACTTTTTCTACTCTAGTTAGATGAACTCTTGTAGAGGTCTATAAAACTTACTATCCTCGGCAACAACCTTGTCAAACACTGATACAACCAGTTGTTGAAGCGTTGCCGCTGAAGTGTGATTCACAATGGCATTCTTGCTGCTCTGGAGGGTGAAGCAAATGTTAAGAGCCGTCATCAGCAAGTTCCCCTTGAGGTCCGAAGCATAGTTTTGGACCAGAGAAGGTAGTGCCTGCAAGATTTTGAGCTGCACATCCAAGCCAGCCGAGGTGGCCTGCATCAAAGCCTCTAGCACCTGGTTCAACTTGGACCGAGGAAGAGCCTGGGCAACGATGAGGCGTTGCAGACACACAATTGCGATGGCGGTGAACTTGGCATTCTTGGTTCCGCATGCGATGATGAATGGGTTGACAAAGTTGACCTTTTGGGATAGCTCTGGACAGGGTTAGATGGCGTCGGATTAACATGGTGAGAGTCAGACCTTCAGGAGCCGTCTGTTCCGAAGGATTTCTTAAATTTCTCAACTCTTCAAGAGATTTCTCTGCGGCCTGCAACGAAATCAGAATTTGGGACCATACGCTGGCTGCAGCGACTCACTTGTCGCAAGTCATTGTGTTTCCTCTTGCTCTCCTGAATGAGATTCGCCAGCTCCGTGGCTAAGAGTTGCGTCGTCATCTTGGCCCCGGGCAAAATTTCGGCTCAACACGGAGCATGTGGATTATCCGCAGGTCCATACAGCTCGAGATGAAATTCTGCCGCTGCACGACGTTAATCTTGTTGCGATGCTGTTGAATTGTTGTCGTAGGCAGTGATGTGTCCCTTGTAGATGAGGCGGCAGAATCGCTCACCGCCCGCCTCACGTGGGCCGGGTGACGCCAGTTCTCCGAATGTGGCAGGAAGGGTGTATGAAGTCAAGTTCAGTCACCAAATAACTAATACCCGGGAACATAGTATATGAGGATTTATGAATTACCCCAAACAACTGTTCTTTTTGTCCATCCAGGCCTGAATCGATAGAACAGTGAGATGGGATGAGCAATGATTCATCCTGCAAAGTGCACCACTAGCCACCCTAGAGTAATATCTCCATCACCAAAGATCATGATTCTGATTCATCATTTCATCATTGATGAACTATGGACGAGCTTTGACCAGGCACATACAACTCAAGAAACACATCCTTAATTCATTTTCTATGGCGCTTTCTGGTTTATTCTAAAATGACCGAGATTCGCCAATTGGCCCAAGCCTCAGCTCTAGTTACGCCGCTTCATCATGTTAGTACACATGCGGCTTATGAGGCAACCAAACATACCAACTCCATTATCCAAGCATTGCGCTGGTTCTAGCACTAAATTTTAAACGGGAACGTTGTTGAACAGGTACGACACAGATTCGCCGTTGTGAGTTCTCCGGATGGCCTGATTTGTTAGCAGGGTAAGTAAAAGTGACCAGGAAACATACCTCAGCCAGGGTGCCGGAAACGTCAATGACCTTGAGCTTAGGGCAGCGCTCGATCTTATCACCAACTATCGAATGTTAGAAAAAACCTCCGCAGAGGCAAGCTGGTTACTTACGAGGGACGGCTGGTAAAGTTAGCATATGTCTGTCCAGTCAAGATGTTGGGTTACTCACTGTTGGTCACAACAAGACCAGAGAGGCATGACTTGTTGATGGTCTCAATGGCATTACCACTAAGGATACCGTGGGTAACAATAGCATAAACCTCACGGGCACCATGCTGGTTCACCGTCTCGGCAGCCTTGGCAAGCTGTGACGAATTAGATATGCTGTATCCCAGGTCGTCATATGACTTACGGTTCCACAGGTGTCAGCCATGTCATCGACGAGAATGGCAACCTTGTCCTGAACGTCACCAACGAGCACCATGCGTCCAACAACGTTGGGGCGAGGGCGCTCCTTGTGGATGAGAGCAAAGCCGGTGTTAAGACGGTCAGCAATCGAGGTGGCACGCTTGGCACCACCGGCATCAGGCGAAACAATGACACAGTTCTCAACGTCAAGGTTTTGGCTGATCCATCGAAGGACTGAGGGTTCCGCGTAGAGGTTGTCCACAGGGACGTTGAAGAAGCCCTGGATCTGAGAAGCGTGGAGATCCATAGTAATCACATGATTCTAAGACTATTAGTGAAAGTGAGAGAAAAAGGCCAGTATCGACGCACGCATCCTGAGACCTGGAGCATATTTGCGATGAGCTTTGCGCTGATGGGAGCACGAGACTTGTCCTTCTTGTCCTGCCGAGCATAAGGAAAGTTGACAACAACAGCGGTGATCCGCCGGGCCGAAGCTGTGCGACAGGCGTGAATCATGATGAGGAGCTCCATCAAGCCATTGTTGACGTCTCCAGGGGCGGTGGACTGGAGAATGAAGACATCCTCGTCACGGACAGATTCGCCGATGGAAACACTGGTCTCCTGGTTGGAGTAGTTGAGGCTCATGGTGTTGGCGATCTCAATGCCGAGTCTGAAGCCGGATCAGCAACTGCGCATACCCATTGCTCACCGCCGCGCCAGACAGAGCCAGCGCCAGGCAATTGAAGAGCTTCCATCTCAAGAACCTACCGACTGGCGACCTTGGCACTGAGATCCGGGTGGGAGCTGCCCGAGATGAGCTTGATTTCGTTTGCCATTTGGTCCAACATTGTCGAAGAGAGGAAGAAAAAGAAGCGGGGCTGAAGATTTTTTGGCGGCGATAAATATTCGCGGGGAGGTGAGGAGGATGAATGGCTGGCTTGGGCTGGGCTGCACGGGTTAGTTGACAGGGAGCCGGTATGTGATTCAGGCTGGTGATCAACGCCCAAGAAGAATTCCGTAAAAAGCAGGGATTTTGAGCAGTAGGATGAAGCCGAGGATATGTATGACTAACATGGATTGGATTGTGTAGGGATGTCAACAAAGAGATCAAACTTTTCCATCACGGGTTTTAGGTTGTGGAGCAACGCGCTATCGCCATCGCCTCTGAACAGTCACCTGGACTGGCAAATCCGGATCAACCTGTCGATGGGATTAACTAGCTTCCGGACAGAGCCGTAACTTAATCTGGGGAAAACAGGAATGGTAGAGGTCATTATGATGGTTTTGATTGGATTCTAGATCTTCAATTGCGTTGCATCTGCTTCTGTCGTCTTCAAGCCATGCCTGACCTTCCAATCATGGCGACGTCATATTGGCTTATTCGATGAGATCCGCGGGGAAGTAAAAAAGGCAACTGACCGACTTAAGATCCAATATCAAAATATTTTACGATTATCCACCCAAATATTCTCTGTTCTCATTATTCGTGTTTTATTTTTATTTATTTTCCCCAGCTTTCTGGTAAATTCCTGTCCTCCGCAGCCTGCCCCTCCAATCCGGCTTGCACCGGAAACTCGCCGGGATATCAAGGAAAAATGGATCAGCTTCGGTAGTCCAATTCGCCGCCACCTGAACATCTGCCCAACCGACAAGGCTCAACTGACGACCTCGATTTGCCCACCAGACATCGAAGCCATCATTGCAACATCTGACGGCCAACTACTACGATCCGAATTTTGAACCAGCGATTTGATGCACCGTCAAAGTCCTCCTCCTCCGAGTCACCTCACCGCTTGCCCGCCTCGCTTTGCGCATGGTTCAAACCATGTGGGATCAGGGTCATCATCCAGCATGGCACATTATTCCTTTTCGCCGCGATTGCTCTCGCCACGGCTGAGCCCCGCGCCTCCCTCGTCCCTCCACGATATGGCTCGCAACCGCAAGCTCCGCCTGCTCGTCGCCGCGACTGGACCCCGCGATACGTCCTGGGCGCAGGCGCTCGTCGTGCGACTCTCCAAGAACCCTCAGATCGAAGCCCGCGCCATTGTTGACGATGTGGTGCCGCGGTTGACACAAACCATCATCGTCATGCAGAACCGGAGTTTAGCGCTGGGAATGGGCGACCGGGCGGATGACGTTGAATTTTACCGACAACAAGCGTTTGAACTTGTGGAATGGGCAGATCTGATGGTCTGCGTGCCGCTAGATGCGGACAGTATCGCCAAGATGCTAGCAGGCGTTACAGATACGTTCCTCGGCGAAGTACTTCGAGGATGGGATACACAAAAGAATATCGTATTGGTGCCCGGCATGAGCACCCACATGTGGTCGAACCCGATGACGAAGAAGCATCTTAACAAGATACATCGGAAATGGAACTGGATACGTGTGGTAGCCCCGATATTGTGGCATTACGAAGGAACACCGAATCCGAAGCGAGTACCGAACTGGAACGGCTTCAACGAGGTGCTAGGCATCATCAAGAACCAAGCAGACTTGCTAGGATTGGGCCGAGACGTCGAGATTGCGACAGGAATGGCCATGGTGGCTGATGTGGACGTGAAAGTTCAGTCAAAGTTGCCGCCAGAGATATGGACTATTATCCTCGACTACGCGGGAGATTGGGAACTGGCAAAGGCTTTGGGCATGTACACGAACCTTCCGATGCCTCCGACATGGACGAGCCGGCCCAAGGACCCAGCCGACCCCTTGAAGGTCTATGAGCACGAGCTTGAGTGGACCGTCCTAACATGCAACTCGGCAGCGATATGTAAGAAGATATCGCAATCTCCGCCGGAATTCCACGACATCTCGGCGTTGGTTATCAAACTGGTCATCAAGTTTGGGCTTATCGACGTGCTGGCGTATATGGAAGCCAACAGACCGGATCTCTTCAAGGCGTTTGACGGAACGACGCTGCCGACCAAGGCCTCGGCCTACTATGCTCGCACCGATGTGTTGGACTATTGGAAACAGAGCAGATGGTTTAGAGAACGGCATATCTATGACGCAGAAGCCGTGGACGGCGCCTCCAAGAACGGGCATGTTCGTGTGCTGGACTGGTGGTGGCGGCGATCCGGACTGTCGATGCGATATACAGAGTCAGCTCTGGAGCAAGCTAGCGGGAGTGGGCATCTCCTTGTGCTCGAATGGTGGCGCGATGCCGCGGCGCAAGACGACAAGGTCGTTTTGCGACCGGGCCGGTCACTCTTATGGGCAACACAATATGGGCAAGCTGATGTGCTACGGTGGTGGGACGCTTCGGGTATCCCCGCGGCGCATGGTGATAGCGTTGCCAAGATGGCTAGCCGCTGGGGACAGGTGGACGTTTTGGAGACGTGGAGACGACTCAAAGGAGACGACAAGCTCGTCTACGACGCCGAGGTGCTGGTATCGCCTACCATATATCAACACCTAGCTGTGCTCGAATGGTGGCGCAAGTTTGCTCATGGAGAGCTTCAAGGGATGGAGGGACGTAAGCAGCAGGTCGAGTTTCGAACTTGCAACATCGAAGAGGCGCTTGAGGACAGCTTTGGAGACCAGAGCCCGGTTCGACGATGGTGGACACAGAACGGGCTGAACCTGGGACTACGAGATGAGGAATGGCTTAAGACGCGATATCTCTAGGGCGGCTAAGGGCTGGTCGGCGTCTGGACCGATATCTGCACCTGAGCTTAATTGAGGTGGACTGGATTAGATCCCGGGAACCCGGGAGTTTGGAACTGGAAGAGGTGTGGCAGGCCGATGGCACACCGTTTGTCCAGGATGGGAATCATACGCATCGCCGCGTGGCATCGTGGTAAATCGAAAAGGGGCGGGATCTTGACGGTGGGATTGCGGGGAGCAAAGGTGACATTACGC